AGACTTGATGCGCTCCCAGCATCAGAGCAACTGAAGGGCCAGTGGATTACTTTTTGACTGCAAATTGCAACTGCTTTTGATTGCACTGTCACCAGAACAACAGAGAAATCCTCAGTGTTAGCGTGCTGTGCAGCTAATGCGGGTAATGTCACCACTTGCTTTTCTTTCCTTATGCCCCCCCAGGTCAGAGCTCTGTGGACACGGTAAAGCTGAGTGACGTTTAGAGCGATTTGCAAGCACTCGACAAGGACTCGGTGGGTGAGTTACTGTGTTTTCATGTCGCTTGTTGTGCTTTAGTGTAACCTAAACTCGGCTGCTGTTTACATCTTCCCTCCTGCTCTCCGTGCTCACATACACTGCATTTTAATAGAGGCCAAAACACAATGAAACCTTCTTATTTGCATATTTTTCTGTGCCTGTTATCAGACAACAACAACAAAAAAAGTATGAAGCAGTGACTAAAATGCAACTACATGTCAACCAGCAGTCACTTCAGAGCCATTTCCAAATGCTGCACCATGAAAGTACTGTTTTCATAACCACAACACTATCTGAAAAACTCACAATACACACAGAGACAAAGTGACAGCTGCTGTTCTCAGACACTCTTCTACACCTGTGCCAGCTGCCTTCAGGTCAACTGACGCAGAAGCAGTTTCCTTCCTGAAGCGGATAAACAGCTCGTTTAGAACACAACTAAAACCAGAGTATCACACACATGAACCACCTTTGCAGTATTGTGAGCTGAAAGACACATTTTGAGGATGCATTTGCTGGGAAGGGACACAATATGGGACCGTTAAACTCTCAGGATCCAACTTACAGGATCCTAAAAGTAAATGCTGCTTCAGCCTTGTTATTGTACCAACAGGCATCAACAAGATTTTTTAATTTTTTTTTGATGAAATGATGAATTTAAAGCAGGAGGAAGTGAATTACAATTTATTATTATTTTTTAAATAAATAATGATTTAAAAAAATAACATATTCGCTGGAATTGAGAAAAGTGACTTCACTTGTGTTTTTCCTCCTGTAAGACTTGATGTAGTAGTTCCTGTTTCATCGTCTATAAATATTTTAAAAATGTTATTGATTGCCTTGCTGCTGGGTGAAGCGGAAACGTGCAGAGTAGGCACTGGTGTCTGTAAGAGAAAGATAAGCCGTGGTTCAGAAAATCCAAATTTCTCTTTCTTTTTTTTTTTTGTGAATGTTTAGAAGCAGCCTACTTACTGTAGCAGGAACTCTGGTCGACTTGGTTCTGTAGAAATACAAAAAAAAAGAAGTTACTGAAAGACTGCGATACCACAAATACCACAAGGTGTCTAGTTTAGGTGATTTTTATTTTTTTATTTTTTAAACTCTGTGACACTGGAATAAATAAATAAATAAATAAATAAATAAATAAATAAATAAATAAATAAATAAATAAATAAATAAATAAATAAATAAATAAATAAATAAATAAATAAATAAATGGATGGATGGATGGATGGATGGATGGATGGATGGATGAATGAATGAATGAATGAATGAATGAATAAAAAAATAAATAAATATAAAATAGGGAAATCATCCTTTAACGTTGCAAAAGCCCCCGAAGTCTGCGTCTGCACAGGTTTGACGCACATTTTCCATTTATTCGTGGGCAGAAACAACCTTTTCTGTCTGTCAAGTCGAGTTCTACGCAGTTTTTCCGTAGTATTGAACACGCTTTCTCACCCGGGGTCAAAGCAAATGGTATCGGCAGTTGTGGTGCAGGGTTTGTCCAGGTGTCCAGGAGCGCATTTGGAACAGGGTTTACAAAACGCACCGCTACCGTCATTGAATGTCTCCGGTTTACACTGTGTTTTAGGAGAGTGGTTCGAATTGCCATCGTCGTCATAGCCACAATGACGTGTTACTTCAAACCCTATATTGATTTTTTTTTTAAAAGAAAAAAAAGACAATTATATTATATAATTTAAAATAATATGATATAATAGAATATCATATTTTTGGACCTACCTGGGGATATGGGGCACGAAATGCATCGCTTTGAATCCAGATCCCAGCGCATAATATCGGGGCATTTTTTTCCCTCTTTCATCTCCAATAAACTGAAATAAAAAGCTGTTTCTTGTCAGATGTTTCTTGCGCTCTCCAGAGTACCACTTCCTCCACACAGACACGCAAGGTTAAAATGAACTCGTGTCAATTCTTCGCAGACTTTTGTAGGGGTGGCTTGGCTTTTTTTTTTGCCCCCCCCCCCCCAGCAAATAATAACAAAAGCACAATTTTCTCAAGCTTATGAATTTTACAGTTGCATTTAGCAGACGCTTTTATTCAAAGCGACGACAGTACAAGCAAGGATCTAGTCAGGAGAAAAACAACCAAGATAAGTGCTACAGAACAAAGTCAAGTGTGTTAGGGTGTTGATGTCAATAGCAGGCCGTGTGGGAGGTCATTTTTTATTTTTTATTTTATATTAAAAAAAAAAATAAAAAATTGTGTTTGTTTTCAGTCTGTCAAGTGCAAAGGTGTTCAGGGAAGAGCTGGGTCTTTAGTCTTTTCTTAAAGACTGAGAGGGAGTCAGCAGATCGACTTGGGGCCACGTTGTGGTGCTTGCATCAGGCGGCTTTCGCTGGTCGAGCGTAGTGAGTGGGAGGAAGTGTAGACCTGAATGAGACAGTTCAGGTAGGAGGGAGCTGTTGTAAGCAAGTGTCAGGGTTTTGAATTTGATGCGAGCAGCAACTGGAAGCCAGTGAAGCGATCTGGAAAGTTGGGGTGACGTGCCGTTCTGGATCATCTGCAGAGGTTTGAGACCGTGGATGTGGGGACGCCTGCCAGTAAGGCGTTGCAATAGTCAGTGGTTGATATCATGAGAGCTTGAACCAGGAGTTGTGCTGCATTTTCAGACAGGAAAGATCTGATCTTCCTGATGTTGTACGGGGCGAATGGACACGATTTAGCAACAGAGGCCACATGAGCCTTGAAGGTTAGTGGGTCATCAGTCATGACACCCAAGTTTGTGGCAGATTTTGTGGGTTTGAGCTGGGTTGAGTCAAGCTGGATGTTGATTTCTTGTGGTAGAGAGGGACTGGCTGGGATGACAAGGAGCTCAGTCAATGAGAGGTTAAGTTGAAGGTGACGTTTTTTTTTCCATCCAGATATCTGCAAGGCATGATGAGATCTGGGCAGATACCGTGTGGTCATCCGGGGAGAGCGACATGAAGATAAGCTTTATTTGTCACATACACATTTATACACGGTACAATGTGCAGTGAAATGTGTTTTCTAGTTTCAATACAAAGAAAATAAAAATAGAAAAAGTAAAGACAAGTGTTCAAGAAATATATATATATATACTTCCTGAGAGGCAGGACATTAACCAGCGGAGGGCAGATCCTGAGAGCTCAGTGAGTGTGGAGAGAAGGATGCGGTGGTTAACCGTGTCAGATCTAACAGCAATAGAGCTCTAGCAGAACGTACAGAAAAGAGTGCGGTCTCAGTAGAGTGACCCCGTTTAAAACCAGACTGATACGGGTCATGTAGATCGTTGTTACGGAGGAACGTTGAGACTTGGTTGAAGACAGTTGTGAAGAAGTACAGGGGAAATTTAAGCAGCATATTAGGCTTTTTTGTGACCCTCAGCTCAATAAAATGTTGAAAAGTTGCTAAAGTAAAGCTTTTTTAGATTGTTGGTTAAGCTCAAATGCTAATTGCAATCTAAATTACATGTGATAAGTACAAACCATATGGGGAAAATAAGTCCTTGTTCTGCTTAGG